ACAATTTCAGAAACAATTTTCTTTAAAAATTCATTTCTTGGGATTGGGACCTCGGAATTCGATTCCGGGCATACGCCCAAGTCCCATATTTTCCTACGGACCCTCCGGGACCATCACATCATGGGTCCGGGTCCGTTTACCCAAAACGTTGACCGAAGTCAAATTAATTTATTTTATAGTCAAAATTTATCATTTTTCACAGATTTTCTCATTTAAGCTTTCCGGCTACACGCCCGGACTGTGCACACAAATCGAGGTGAAGATAAAAGAGGATTTTAAGACCTCGGAACACAGAATTTAATTTAAAAGCAAGTGATGACCTTTTGGGTCATCACATGAATTTGTTCCAAAGGTTATGTTTTTAGCATTCATTTTTTTTAAAAAAAATCCTTCCTTGAACATGAATAACTAACGTTTCTGCAAAACAATAATGACAGATATTATACGTTTATATATTTAGTTTTTTTTTTCTTTCAAATTTTCTATATGGATCTTGCCCGTAAAAATTAGTACGACCTAATTCATACTTTGGTTCGGGCATGTTCAGAGGAGAAGTCCAGATGCTTCGGTACGGAGGTGTGAGCGGCTTGTTGTGAAGGGCACGAGAAGAGGTAGAGGGCGGCCTAAGAAGTATTGGGGAGAGGTGATCAGGCAGGATATGCGAGGCTTCAGATTTCTGAGGACATGACACTTGATAGGAAGATGTGGAGGTCGAGTATTAGGGTTGCAGGTTATGAAGTAGTTGAGTCTTGCCTTAATTCGTATCATTATGGGACTAGTCTGGTAGGGTTTTTGTCTAAGATAGCTAATGGCAATATTGTGTCTTAGTGCAGGACCTATTTACTAGCTATCACTTTTGCTTTGCATCTTTCTTCGGGATTTCATGTTGTTCCTATTTTTCCTGTGATTTCTGTGGTGATACTAATATTGTCTCCTTTTGTCCTTTTGTTTTCTTGAGCCGAGGGTCTTTCGGAAACAACCTCTCTAAGGTCTACGTACACACTATCATTCCGAGACTCCACTAATGAAATTTTACTGAGTTGTTATTGTTGTATTTATTATCGTAAGCCTAGTGAAATGAAATGCAGTCCCTAGCTAGTGCCACCCACTAGTGAGTAGGGACTAGGGAGGCATTACATAGACAAACAACTTAATGAGAGAGAGTACGATAATATGAATTTTTTGCAAAAATATTTTTGTTTTGAAAGAATTATTATGTCTCTGCTTCTTGAAAGAATCAAAAGAACGTAACAGAAATTTATTCAGTTTAAAATTAAACACCTGTTTTAAATTATAAACCAAACATTCACCAAAAAAAGCAATTGAACCAAATAAGTAAGAAATTTTTAATTCCTATATGACGATCCTTGTATGAGTTTATCCACAAATCAAATGACCTCTTTTACGGTCATACATCTCTATAATATATCCCTATATAACAACACTTTAAAAAGCCAAGCTTTTTCGGGATCAATTTTTATGTTATGTTATAATATATGTTCTTTACAACAGCACTTCGCTATAACATTCAAAAATATTCAAAACAAACGAGGTTGCTATAGAGATGTTTGATTGTAGTTCTAAAATAGATATTTACCAAGATTTAAATGACCAGCAATTTGATGAGTCCGCCCACAGTCGAAATAGACAACAATGAAAACCAAAGTCAGAAATCTGCAAATCGGGTTGGCAAACAAAGACCCAACGCCACTCCCTCAGGGGTTGAAGTCAAGGCTTCAATACCATTAGGTACCGCATTCATTCCAAGATTTCAAACCATAGCAACTCAAATATTTTATCAAATCGATAATAGAAAGGCAATAAATGTTATCTATATCTATATGACTATATCAACACCTATAATTAAGTCGGTCTTTTTCTTATTTTTATATACAGTCAAACCTTTCTATAACAGCGTCTCTATATAACAACACTTCACTATAAAAGCCAAGCTTTTTGGAACCAATTTTTATGTTATGTTATAATATATGTTCCCTATAACAGCACTTCGCTATAACATCCAAAAATATTCCGAACAAACAAGACTATTATAGAGAGGTTTGACTGTAGATTCTATACTTAGAGTCCGAAACAATGGATACAGAAAAATGCATAACACATGAATGGAAGCATCAAATGTCTGCATCAAATTAATAAATGCATAACACATGTTAATGTAAATAATAATATTAATTTTATACTTAATTCACGTAAATTTATATAATTTGGTGTAAATATAAGAAGAAAGCAAAATTTCCTATCTTTGGAACTTTTGTTCATATATACACTTTCAATGATGTCAAGGCTTGTGTTTCACACCATCTGATCTAAATTCTAACACAGATGTGGGCCCAATTCTTAAAAGATAGATACTAGATTTTAGCTCTAAGTGGCTTAAGAGGCCCACTTCATGTGGGTTGGTTCAAGATGGGAATCATCATAAATCAACATAGTGGTCCTTTGGTCCATCTGTTTTGCACATCATGGGTTGCGGGCCTTTGTTTCTAATCTCACAAACTCTAATCCAATTGCTTAGTTTGGTAATATTATATTAGCTGCTAATTATTACGCGACACATCAAATATATATACATATTTATTATTTTGAATTTTATAGCAAATCTATGAAATAAAAGATCAATTGTTTTGAATTGAAACAAGAGAGCAACAAACTCTCGTAGCTTAGTTGGTTAGACTGATCGCTTAGTAAGTGGAGGTCTTCAGTTCAACTATCAACAAAGGCATTTTTTTCTATATTTCTGTATTTCGCAACAAATATAATTGATACGGGTTGTACCTTTTGTATATACCCCTGTATTTCGCTTTGGTTGTACTTGTTGCGCGAACGAATGTCGTCGATACATGTTGTATTTCGCTTGGTTGTATTCGTTGCGCGAATGAATGTCGTTGATATATGTTGTATTTGTTGCTCGTACGAATACAATTGCACAACGAATACAGTTGACACAGGCAGTATTTGTTGCGCGTTTGAATACAAGTGATACATACGGATAACAATTGAATTATTACTACGAATGATAATTAGGAAAATTATAGTTACTAGGTTATAAATTATAGTGCTTTATTAAAATTCCTGAATTATTACACCAATTCTAATTACACTAGAACTCCAGCATAATATACTGGAGTTCCAGCAAGTATACCGGTCCAGCATAATATACTGGAGTTTGGAGCACCGGTGCTCCAGTCTCCAGTATATTATACTGGAGCCAGCAAAGTATACGGTCCAGCATAATATGCTGGAGTTCATACACAGGTGCACCGAACTCCAGTATATTATGCTGGACCGGTCTCTGCTGTAGCAAAATAGTGGCTATTTTTCATTGACTTAGTAAACGCTGGCTATTTTTGAATGACCGGTCCGAAAACTGGCTACACCGTGCTATTTTTACAAAATTTAATAGTGTATTAACAATGCCTTTACTTTTTCTATAATTTTCTGTATCGTTTGGACCAATCACTGCGAGCTGGGGGGCAGAAGAAGATCCAATTTAATTTAATTTAATTGTAGCAACTAGCAACGAAACACACAAAAAGGGGAGGCAAAAAAGATAAGATAGAATATCGAGTTAAGGGAAAAGTCGAGATCCTGTCTAGTCCTTTTTAAGACATTATAACAAGTCTACAACTCTTCAATACTATTTAATTTGGGATCTTCATTGTATTTCACCCCTCTCCATCCCATCATCCATCAAATCAATTTGGAATATATAATCCAAAAAGAACAAAACTAGTCTCCTTTTCTAATGTTCCCTTAAAAGATTTTCAATCTAATCGAATTATTTACATTTCAATAATAGTTCAATTCCTATATTACGAAGGAGATTACTTGCATTAGTAGCAACAAAGCCCTTGGGATTAAGGTGGTTTGTTCCATACACCAATTATAGGTTAAAATATCATGGTATAGCCAGTTTTCACACTAGTCAATGAAAAATAGCCAGTGTTTATCAAGTCAATGAAAAAAAGCAACTATTTTGCTGCAATAGGGACCGGTCCAGTATAATATACGGGAGTTCTGGTGCATTTGTGTACGAACTCCAGCATATTATGCTGGACCGGTATACTTTGCTAACTCCTGTAAAATTTGCGGGAGACTGGAGCACCAGTGCTCCAACTCCAGTATATTATACTGGACAATTATACTTGCTGGAACTCCTGTAAAATTTGCGGGAGTTCCAGCATAATTATGCTTGAACTCCCGTAAAATTTGCGGGAGTTCCAACATAGTTATCCTGGAACTCCCGTAAAATTTACGGGAGTTCAAGCATACTTATGCTGGAACTCCCGTAAAATTTGCGGGCGTATTTTTCCGGATTTTGAACAGTGTTTTCGCTCAGATTTAAAGTGGCTAAATTTCGATGACTTTTGAAACTTGGCTATTTTTCAACGACCAGTGGTAAATCTGACTATTTTTGAATTTCTCCCCAATTATAGACAATACCCTATTCCTAGGTCAACAAATGCATCCACGTTAGCGGGACGTACATTGAAAATTTTGTAAGCGGCGTCATAATTTATAGAAGAACGGAATAATAACTTTAACTATCATACTTTTAGATAAAAAATAACTTTTCTCTATTGATTTTGTTGAGTCTTAAGTTAGAAAAGGTCCTGAGTTCAATTCTACTTCATTACAACTTTTAACCAAAGGCTCTCTTAAATATTTGCCAAAAAAAAAAATGTGCTTACTGAGCTTTGAACCTGTAACTTCTTAGAACAAAATGAAGCACATAATCAACACATCAAGAGACAATTCACATAAAGTGGTATCATTTTATCCTCTTATTCGTTTCTTCACAGTATTAATACATATATTTAGTAAAATTTTCCGAGACGTCCATCGGCCCCTGCACGTTAGTATCTACATGCAGACCTGAGTTAGGTGAACAGAAGGGGGTTCAATTGAATATCACATGATGTATTTTTATTTTACATATCCTTATTTGAATTCCTGACTCCACCATTACTTACGAGATAAAAAGAAACGAACCAAAAATTTCCATTATACTGAATAAAACAATAAAACACACACATCGTTAGTATGTATATATCAAATTGCATTACCTGTAGAAAACGAGTATCATTGCTCACGCACAGCACTTCACCACCACATTTTCCAGAAGTAAATTATGTACGGGTTCGTTTGGTACGAGGTATAATAAGGTATAATGTTGGTATAAAAATTTAATACCACCTTAATACTTTATTTGGTTAGCAAACCTAGTATATTTTAGTATCGGGATAACTTATATCTTGAAGAGAGTGGAGAAATTAGTGCCGGGATAAGTTATACATTCTCCTTAGAAATTATGCAATTGTCATTTTTAATACAACATACCAAATAGTGGATAAAAATCAATACCAGTATAACTAATCCCAGTATAACTTATCCCTGCATAAGCCGTATTCAAACCAAACGACCCCTAATAGTACTAGAGTGCAATCAGTAACAACACTTTCAAAAGAATGTCAAAAAAGAGAATAAAAAGTTAAATACTTAGCAAAGTAGTAGTAGTTAAATACCTTCTCTTAAAAAAAAATAGTAATACTAACTCTAATAATTTTTTTGGCAATTTCATTCACTGGAAATTGGAACCTGGTGTGTAAATTGCAAGATCAGGCCAACCATTGCTACCACCATTCCAACAATTATTAGTATCTCCACCATTTTGAACTCCCAAATATGTATTATTCCCATTTTGACGGGTACCATCTGAGACCGAACCCGAACCCGAACCCGAATTTGAATTTTGATTCCTCGCAAATTCACCCAACTGCAAAACGGACCCATTATTATTACTGGGATTCAAAGCTTCCAGTAAATTCCCAAATTGCGGCTCGTTTGACTCCAGCAGCGAACTGAATTGCCCATTACTCATATCAATCACTCCACTACTGTTTTGATCAAAAGCTGGAATTACAGGTAAAACAAATGGCTCTGGTTTTGGATTTGCTATCTGATCAGATTTTGAAGATAAAACTGAAGACGACGTCGTTGAGGAGGAAATTTTCTTACTTGAAGATGAAGAACGTTTTGTGTTCTTACGAGAACCACCACCAACTGGAATATTCCTAAGAGTACCGCCTTTGGTCCAATACCTACGACAACTCTTACAAAAGTGACGTGGCTGAGAAAGATTGTAATTGTTGTAATAACAGAATTTTGTATTTGGTGAATCACATCTTGGACATTTCAAGTGTTCTTGCTCTGGAAATTGTGGCTTTATTTGTGTATAAATTGATGGATCTTGCATATTTAACTTTCTCTTCAGCCTATAAAAATTCAGTCTTTTTGAAATAAAATCAAGTGAATTAGTAGTATTGAAACCAAAATTTGTAGTTCTTTTTTTGAGTGAATTTTCACTGGATTTGTTTGTTACTATGAAAGAAGAAATGCTGGCCTTTTTGGGGTTTGAGAAGTGGCGAAAAAGCACTGAAGAAAAAAGGACAAAAAAGACAAGATATTTTTCACTAGTAAAATCTCCAGAAGAAAAACAACAAAAAGGTAAGAGGAAAAAGCAAGAATTTGTACACAAAGAGGGCTATTTTAATTTCTTGAATATATGAAACCAGTTTATAGGATCTTTACCTCCAAATTTTCACCAAAATCAGTGACTCTGCAGAAAAATTCTGACTTGAAATCTTTCAAGAAATCAAGGAAAATAAGGGGAAATGAAGAAAATAAATATACTTAGATTTGAAGTTTGATTGAATGATATGAAGAATTCCGCGTTAGAAAGAGTTAAGAAGAGAGAAGTAGAGTTTCCTTTCTCTTTCTTATATACTCTTTTTAGGCTTATAGAATTGGAATTTTTAGGAGTCTATAGTGTTTAGTGAAGTCTCACTCAAGCTGATTTTAATAGATAGGCTAAATACTAAAGAGGAGTCTAGTAAAAAAGACACACTGCCACATATTTAAAAAAGGAATTAAAAGTCGAGAAAATCATACTGTATAATCGCTCCGCACTAAAAATAATAGCCGAAAAAAGTATATAATTTTTTTTATATCTTTTGTATGTATAGACATTTTATATGTTATATACAAAATTTTATACAATTTTTCGGCAACTAAATATAAATAATTTATGGCGCGGACTAAAAGTGATAATAACTCTTAAAAAAATAAAGAACAATCTAGAGATGATTAAAAAATATTTATATAAGATTCTTTTAAGCCTTGGCTACCTCTAGGTAGGATAGAATAAGCCAAAAGCTAATATTGTATTGTTAAATCGTCAACGTAATAGTGTTAGTAAATTCAAACAAGGAGACTAAACGTCAATTCTTGTCTTTATAATGTTCACTTAACCTTACACGTGTTTATTAACCTTTGTTTTTCCTTCAGCAAAAATAACTACAGTTAAACCTCTCGATAACAATACGCTATATAACAATTATTTACTATAAAATTCAAAAATTTATGGAACCAATTTTTATGCTATACTATGTTAGAAAATATAACAGAATATAGGGACGAAATAATTAGGCTTTGATAGTGTAGTCACTGTCCTTAAGGAATTTAAGCCTCCCAATTTCGTTGCTGCAGGGATTATGGCAGAATTCCTCCAGGATTTTACAAAGCCTCTGAAATTCGAGCACCAGCAATTAACTCGAATTTCCACTTGAACAAATTTGGTGAATTGAAGATAGCAGAAAAGAAGAAGATACTTTGTTGCTTTTCTGATGATTTTTGTTTTGGAAAAGAAAAGGGTATTTATAAACCTTTAGGTGTCTGTTAGGACTAACAGACTCAACCTTTGCCAATAGGCACCTTTTAAAACAAAAGTCAGCTCTTTTTAAAATTAAAACGTTTTAATATTTAAAACGTTTTTTTATTAATTAATAAAATTAATAGATGACTAAAAGAAATAAATTTTGAGCTATTTAATTGGCCCAAAGCCCCAAGTGCCCAAGTGCCCAATTTTGACTATTAATAATATAACCAAATTCTAGTTCCCTCCAAAACATCTTTAAATTATTCAAATCATGTAAGACAAAGAAGTGTTTTTAAACACTTCTTCCTTTCTTTCTTTTTCCAACGAGGGACAAAGCAACCTCTTCTCAAATACTCTCATCAAAACACTAACTAATATAATATACTATAATTTATGTTATCTATAACAACACTTCGCTATAACAGCCGAAAAAATTAATAAATAAGATTGTTATAGAAAGGGTTGATTGTACATCAAACATCCTCAAATCAATTTTCTCTAATACAAAACTTTACAGGAACGTAATACTTTATAATTGGCATTTGGACAATTTTTGAGAATTTTTTCACAAGATCTTTACAAAATACACATTTGATACACACCTTTTCAAATGTTATTTTAGCTAGTCAAATTTAGTTCAAAATAAAAGTCATTTAAAAAAATAACTTTATCCTTGTTCCAAGAGATGAGTTATACACTCTTAACAGCTATTACTCAATTTTAAAAGAGATAAAAAGTAATGTAATAAAGTAGTTCCGATGATTAATAACTACTAAATGGATTTTTTTAATTAGTGTGTTAAAACTTTAAATGGTATTTACAAAGAATCTAACATAATTTGTTTGATATTTGTATAAAACTTTGTATTGCCAAACAACGTCAACATAAAAAAGTTTTTAAAATATTATTTGGTTACAACTAGAAATAATACTGGGGTATTTATTTATTCAATCAAAATTTTAAATGGTAACAAAACAAAATTGTTCTTTTGTAGGCAAAAAAATTGGAGGGGCTTTCAACTTCAATGGCATCTTCTTTAGGAGAAGAGTTTAGCATTATTAGGCGTTATTATTTTGTCGCATTAGATAACGATTAAGGAATGTCTTAGTCAAATAAAGATATGAACACGACTCCTTATCTCTAAAATAATCCGCGTGACGACTTTCCTCTACTGTCTAGTCTTGATTCTTAACTTATTAGTGGCTGATTTTTGAATCCTAAAAAATTTAATGGGTTTAATTTTAATGGTTTTGACAGTAATTTATTATGCGTTAAAAATGATGAATTCAATTATAATATTTACTAAAAAATTTAGTAATTTTTGTGTATACATTTAAGTTTTGCGTTAGATATAGCTGGTTCATGTATTTTTAATGTACAGTCAAGACCTCTCTATAGTAATATCCTTATAAAACAACACTTCACTATAAAAATCAAGTTTTTCCGTTATCGAATTTTATGTACTGTTATAATTGTTGGGTGTGCGAACAAAGTCCCACATTGGTAGTTGAAAAGATTGGGAGTCTACATATAATGTGTAGGGATCTCTTAATGGTGTGAGGCCTTTTGAGGAAAACCGTGCGAGCTTTGCCCAAAGCGGACAATATCACACCATGTTAAGAGTGTCTTTGGGCTAGTTTAGCCCAACAACTGGTATCAGAGCCCAGGTTCAGCGGAACGAGTATGGAGATGGTAGAGTGATGGTGCAGGGCGGTGCACACACAAGAAGAAGCTAGTTGCGGGCTTCGGTTGACATAATACTCTAACAATGTGGGTGACACACAGTGAATCTCAAAAATTGACCCGTGGATCGTGGTAGTGGGCCACGTGGAACTTAGTTCGAGGGGGGATTGTTGGGTGTACGAACAAAGTCCCACATTGGTAGCTGAAAAGATTGGGAGTCTACATATAACGTGTAGGGATCTATTAATGGTGTGAGGCCTTTTGGAAAAAACCGTGCGGGCTTGGCCCAAAGCGGACAATATCACACCATGTTAAGAGTGTCATTGGGCTGTTTTAGCCCAACAACTGGTATCAGAGCCCAGGTTCAGCGGAACGAGTATGGAGATGGCGGGGTGATGGTGCAGGCTGTGCACACACAAGAAGAAGCTAGTTGCGGGCTTCGGTTGCCATAATACTCTAACAATGTAGGTGGCACACAGTGAATCTCGAAAATTGACCCGTGGATCGTGGTAGTGGGCCACGTGGAACTTAGTTCGAGGGGGAGATTGCTGGGTGTGCGAACAAAGTCCCACATTGGTAGCTGAAAAGATTGGGAGTCTACATATATATAAGGTGTAGGGATCTCTTAATGGTGTGAGGCCTTTTGGGAAAAACCGTGCGGGTTTGACTCAAAGCGGACAATATCACACCATGTTAAGAGTGTCTTTGGGCTAGTTTAGCCCAACAACTGGCTTCTTCTTGTGTGTGCACCGCCCTGCACCATCACTCCGCCATCTCCATACTCGTAACTAGGACTTTCGTGGGGGGAAAAACCTTAGGGTAAAAGACAAAAATAACAAACCTAGTTTAAATAAGGAATTGTTTATAAGAGTTAAATTTTAATTTGATTTTAGAGTCTTAAATGTTAGAATATTTTATATGTTTCAAATAAGGAATGACTTAATAACCATAATTGAGTTGATTTCTAAGTCTTAAATATTAGAAATATTGTTAAATTAAAATTTTATCTAACATAAAATATATTTTTAAAGGGTAAAAATGACGAACGATATGTCGCTAAGGGCCTTTGTGCTTTTAATATAGTAGTATAGATAACTTTACATATATGATCAATTTTGAAAATGATTGAATGGATTCTTTCATTTATTAATTAATTAGTTTAAATACTTAATTTATTGACTTCAACAATTTAAGGAACTATTTATTTTTCGTCGACTCAAATATAATGTTTAGGTATCCCATGTTTTAAATATTAACAGTAGCATGGAAAGAATTACAATTATGTTTATTTTCAATTAAGAAAGTAATTCATATAAAGTAATTGCACTTTTAGTTTATTTTAAAGTACTAAATATTAAAATTTCCCAAAATAGAAAGAACTTAACAAATAATTTAGTGGACTGTAAAGTCCTAAACATTAAAAATATTAATATAAAGTAATTGTATTTATGATAAATACTCTAACTCATGTTCTTTATTAGAAAACAATAAACATATTTAAAAGTCATTCTCTAACATTGCCTCAACGCACTGAAACTGGAGACACAATTCTTAACCTCAAATAATTTGGGACTCATAATATTCGATAATAAAAATTGAAAGTTCTATCATTTAAAAGTCTATGCAATTCAAATAAGGGAAGAATTTAAATAAGTAAATTTTTATATAATTTTGAATTCTTAAATATTAGAAGATTTTATATAATTAAAATAAGGAAAGACTTAATAACAAAAGTTCTAATTAATTTTAAAATCCTAAAAACTCGATAATAATACTATTTTTAGCTTTTAGGAAAGTAATTAAAGTTCTATTCCTAAATATTAGACAAAACACTCAAATGACTATTTTATCCAATGTGAACACTATTTTAAAAGGGTAAAAAAGACGAACGACATTTCACTAAGGGTTTTCGTGTTTTTAATATAAAATATAGAATATAGATATAGATAAAAGCACGAATAATTTATGTTAAATGTTGGACGACTACTGATGGGAGGTATGCCATTGTCTTTGATCACTTCTCCAAAGTCTCAGGTCTACAGGCAAACTTGGAAAAGAGCTCACTATACATAGCAGGTGTGCCTATGGAATTCAAAGATAGAATGCTAGCAGAACTCCAGCTATCAGCAGGAAGTATCCCATTCAAATACTTAGGAGTCCCACTATCCTCAAGGAAGATAACTATTCACCAGTGCATGCCATTAGTTGAGAAGATTGTGGAGATGATAAGAAGCTGGACATCAAAATGCCTATCTTATGCTGGAAGATTACAACTCATTAAGAGTGTTCTGTTTGAAATGCAGACCTACTGAGCTCAAGTATTTCTAATCCCAAAGAAAGTTATTAAACTTGTCAATGGAATATGTAGGAACTACTTATCGACTGAATCAGGAGAATACTCACAGAGCTCCTATAGCATGGGAAACATTGT